GAGACTTTGATTTTTTCATTAGAGAAATTAACATAAAATCCTAATAAAAAAAATCCCCTTTTGAATCGTTTACGGGAAAAAAAGCATTGCAGGGAAAACATGTTTGTTCATTAGAGACGAGCAAATGTGTGTCAATTCATAAAACAATAGCCAAAATAACTCTTCATTTGCATACGTTCATTGTTTGAATAAAACTAATTTTTGGACAAAGGCATTTGAATTGTTTGTTGGTTTTCAAGGTCATTTAAAACGTTTTTTTTTAGATTTATATTATATTTTATATGTCCACACAAATGTGGCTGTGAAATGAAGAAATTCTAAAGATTAAAAAAAATAGTTTGTCTTATTTAGTACTCTTTGTAATACGTTAAAAGAAACTAAATAATAACAGATTTTAAATGCATCCTCGAGAGCCAATGAAAAAGACACTCTGGATGCTATAGTTTTTCGCGCCAATTGCTTCAAAAGCCACAATTAAATCACACAAAAACGTAAAAATTCAAAAATTCATTGCTGTTAACACGATATTCACTTATATATTTTTTTAACACAGAAAGTTTTGTATCTTGAGTATGTAGCCAACAATTATGGTGTACATAGCTAGCAATTATTATATTAGAACCTTTTCAACTTAGCTGGCATGCGATTTAATATTTAACAAAGCGGCTCATTGTAACATCTTATATTTATGAATAAATGGATGATTTAAGTGTTAGATAAGACACACCAATCATTCAATACTTCGTATGCAGCATCTTTATTTTGTCAATGTTAAATAAAATACAATCATACAACATAAAGTTGATGGCGCCAACGGTGAAAACCAAAGCATTTTTATTGCGTTCGCTATATTCATTTCACTCTTTGCTCAATGGACACAATCATTATTAAAAAAAGCAGAATCTTATTATTATTATTATTATTATTATTATTATTATTATTGTTACATAAATTTTGATTATAAAAGTCAATTTATTCTCTCTTTTCTCTCGCTCTCTCTATCCGCACTTGATATTATGTACAATTTGATCATTACGCATGAATAAGCATATTGTTCCGTTCGAATGTGTGATCACCAATTGGACGAAGATATAGAAAAATGTTCACACTCATTCGATTATTATTATTAGGAATAACTTATGGACGAAACTGAAAGTGGTGCGTGAGAATTGAGATACAGAACTAATGTAAAAATATTCAACGTCATCCGTATTCGCCAAATCGGTCCAACACATTTAGTATGTGAGCGAATGTGTGTTTGTTCAAGCCCAATAAACAACACACTTCGACTGCTGTGTTTAAGTGAGTCTCTTTTTTGTAATCAAATGGAAAGAAATGGAATGGAAGAGAACGATGCAAATTAAACTCTGTACATAGGTCAGTAATAAACCGAATACACAAGCACCAAACCGAATTCGAAATGAACAGAAAAAAGAATGCCATAAAATCTAAAATAAATGTTTGTACATTCGAAATATTCGCAATTTTTGCTTCAAATGATGACGGTTTGTCAGTTTTGGTTCTGTTCAGTGAAGATTTTAGTTCTGGCACAAAAAGCTGGATTCGATGTATGAAAAACTAGATTACAATATCCCAGTTTCATCATGGATTGGAATCCGTTTTAATTTTTCTCGTCGAAATTAAAAGAATTTTTATTTCGTGACTGCACGAAACTGAACTGTGATAATAAAAACAAACGAAATGCTTCCAAGCGTACAAAAAAACGCGGCATGGAAACCTCGCGACACAGTGCAATAACGACAACGAAAATTATTTATACAACAACAAATAAATAACACATCGGAACAATATATTTTGTTTTTTTTTGTGAGTTTGCGACGCGGTGTTTCTTCTTTTGTCCATTTCATATGAGAATGTCAAATAGAGCAATACAGGCAAATTGTATCCTCAAACATAGAAAAAATGGTTAAAGGAAATGATGACTAGAGTGAAAAAACCGCTTTTAAAATTGGAACACTCGCTCACATAAAACAGCTGATTGTTGAACGGCTGGGTGATCATGTGATTCTATGGGTGGCTACGAAAGAAATTTTTATTGTTGAGCGCATGCGGTTTTCGCAAGTAGAAACAATTCATTTTTGTTCAATTTATGTTCTGTTCCTCATTCAAATGGAATATAGTTAATATTTGGGATTGCGAAATCTACATAAATTTCTTTCTATTCAATACAAAACATACAACGGAATAAGTTACAGAGAATGTTTTTTATTTTTCATTTTTTTAAGTGCCTAGCTTGAATTCAGCGATAAGCTAATTTATCGTTTTCTTTGGACATTTGTTTGCTGTTCAGGACTTCCAAATACTTTTCCAGTATTATATTTTCATGTGATAAGATAAGTCAAACTTTATTGGCGAATTGTGGCAAAGGGAGAATACACAAATTTAAAATTCATTCTTCTACCATACTTGATATATGTGGTACTTGCATATGTATATAGAAATTGAAGACTATCATGCAAAGTAACATAACGATTCAGCAACAATGTTGCCGCGTGTGAATTCATTGAAATTCTTGGGGTCATTATTAAAAGGAAAATCAATGAATCGAACGGAAATCGCATTGTGATTATGTGAACAGATTTAAAAAATCTGTTTAGACAATCGTTGCATATCATTCATGAAAGAATCTCTGTACTTGTGGTTGCACACAAATAGTATTACAAAGTTTTTTTTATAAATAGTATGAGCTAATCAATGCCTAGTCATTATATTCACACTATCACCTTTTTTTCTCGAAGTCACGACCACCGCAACAAATTTATTGTTATTGCTGTTTAAAATGGAATTTTTTGTAATACTTTTTTCCAAATAACATTCTTGTATGTTCTAAAGAAAAATGAAACTTACTTACATTTTGATTATAATAGTTCTATTGATGTAGCCTAATTTTTTTTTGTCAAGATTGTGGTCCATACGGTGTTTCTCTACAGACAAATTTTTCGAATATTTGTATTGAATGGATAATGTCACATAACACAGTTTACATACGAAGTAAAGTCAAACAACAAAAGCTTATTAAAACTTCCGCACATGCTTTGAATCGAATGTAATGAATTGAATTCCGGTAATAACTTCGAAGGAGCGTTAAAGAATTGCTGCAATTCACGGGGGTATAATGAATTAAAATCGAACTTTGTGCGCAGCTTACTTTCAAGCGAAAACGAACATAAAATTGAGAACGTAAAATAATTACTTTTATATTTTCTTCTCTGACGCCGACGAATGATTTACGCTCAAACCATGAGTGTTTCGCCGTAAACTAGTTTATTTCTTCTGTATATTATATATTTCATCTATCTTTTCTACACAGAAATACGCATCAAATATTGTTCAAATTTTCCTTTTTCCGCAAATTCTTCTTTTCAGTTTGGATTAATGGCACTTTTGCATATCCTGTTGCGCGCAAACAATACGTATTTGTCGCCCAATAAACGAACGGCAATTTTATTTGGAGGGGAGCCAAATAACAGATTTTCACTAAACATCCACTAACTTAACAGTTTTATAGCATGCGAAAATCAATAAAATCTGTTCAGAGGGAAACGACTGGTTGCTAACTCTATTTCTTTCTCTCTTTTTCTCAAAACTCACTGGATTATTACTATCAGTTTCAATACAAACAGACGTCTTCACAACTGAGAACTGATGAAAAGTGTTTGATTTGTTTCCTCGCTCATGGATATTTGTTTACATAAAAATGTTTTTGCTTGATGACAAAAGAGCCCCACACTCATTCTAAACGAACGAACGGAACGTACATGAAAATACTTATTTGAAACGTTCAAGAACCGGCGGTGGCGTCACAATTCTTTCGTGTACACATAAATACGCACACACTCTCACTTTTCTTGTCCTTTTGGCTTAATAACCACGTGCACTAAATATATTGCACTTCAATCAAGTTTGCGAACAATATAGACTGTTTATTTTCTCCGTTTAAAATCAGAACACTTTGAACTTTCGTTTCTTTTCACTTTCCTGGAAATTGTTCGATTAACACTTGAAATAGCATTGTTTTTGTAGATATTTGTCGAAGATGATTTTATTGAATAATTTTTCAGTTTGAATATTTGTATTGATCGTTGAAAAACCGTCATAATAATTAAATTAGTTCTAGATTGTTGATTATATTTCTTCAATTTAATTTTATTGATAACTGGCTAAATGAATACACTTTTGATGTGACACACAATTGAAAATTTGATTAAACAAAACAAAAAATAACAATAGAGAAAAAACAATAAAAACAAAACCATATATCGAAAATAATTCTAGCAAATAGACAACATGCGTGTAAGTGGCCAGTGAACAATAGTGGATCGATGGTCTTGTGCTCAACAATCAATGTGCAATGCTATACTAAATGGAAATGTGAACATTCGAAGCGACTTAGCCGTGCAGCAAAAAGTATACAAACCAAGACACAAAAAATACATACACAACCGTAAACAAATCGTACTGTTGAATATAAAGCGTGTTCATATTAACGCGACTTCGTTTCGTTCGCGAATACACAAACGTTCGTCGCGTGAATCGTTGCGGTACGGGCTCTCACCATGTCGGTGTTTGGCTGATTTTATTTACGTCGTTTAAAAATAGAAATGTTCTCATCGATGAGCGTTAGCGATTGGCTAGCCATCACGTCATTTTACTAACAACTCATTGGTTATAAACTGGGAGAAAACGATATGAATGAAAAAGAAGCACACAAATCTATATATTAGCATGTAGCTGTTGATTTTAGTACATTTATAATGTTCGAATGGCTTTTGGTTCTAGTTTTTGCCACTTTTTTGCGCTTGAAAATCGCACACTAGTTGCTTACTTATGTATGCTGATCAATGGATCCGGTGCTCGTAAAAAGTACAAACATTTTTTTTTCTGCTCACCACGATTGTTTTAATCGTTTCATTTTCAAGCTTAACTCGCGCGACGCCAAATCTCATCTTACATTGCGCACTGTGTATATTCTCGCCAACACAGATGGCACACAGCGGTCAGTTACGATTCAAAAGTTCTGCTTTCTTGTGTGTAGGCATTAAAAATTTCGTATATTGCATCTGCAAAGTAGGTACGCCGTCTCTTGTCACACTGGTGCAATATAGACATAACATATAATTTCAAATACAACACAGCGAACAGAGGAATACTATATCTCACATTTTATATGTGTTAATTCAAGCAGATAAAATAAATTTTACGCCACATTTTATCTAACGAGAGATTCTCTCATTTGTAAGTTAACCCCTTTTTACCGTAAACTATAAAGTAGTATTTCACTATCTATTATTTTATTCACATAAATTTAATTACATTAATAATTAGGAAAGCTTTAAAAAAAACGTGCCTATCGATACCTATATTTTCATAACAAATTTCTCTCTTCTTAAAATATTTTGGGAATTAATTAATCTGTTCCATTTGAAGATTGAAAAGATCTTGGTTTTTAAGGGGGGTTTACTACTCTTTTTCAAGCTATTTATTGGTTATTTTTGGCAATGTGGGATAGTTTTGGTAGACCTCAAAATCAAATGAATAAATATATATATGGCATAGCAGAAAGTACATTACGTATTCAATTAAATTTTGAGAGAAACTTAAACATATTCTCTTTTATTACCAACAAAGGGTCTGAAGAGAGAGGAAAGACATTACGAATAACATTGACTTCAAAAGCAGCGAACATACTATCTTTTTTTATTTTCAAACCATTCCAGAAACAATTTACATAAAATTGGCTACGCCTTTGATTGCAAAACTCTATTCACCAAGTACATTTCTATTTTTCTCCACTATTTGATTATGATGGTTTCTTGCTTCTCGAAATTCTTCTTTTAAATTGTGTATCTGTTTTATTCACTATCCGGCTATGGATTTTTTTTATAAAAATGACTTGATTCTTACATTCAATCGGTTTTTGTTTTAAAAATGATGCGATAATTTTTTTTAACGTAAAAAATTTCGATTTGGAAAATATTTTTTAAATATTTGCGGTATGATCCTCACATTTTGTTTTAAATATTATAAGGCCTTGTATACAATATATTTAAATAATGGTGATGGAAATTATTACCTAAGCTCATGTTAAACATTCAATTCATCCATTACTATTTTTGTTGTCTTTTTCATAATATTCTGTTCATCGATTTTTAAGAGGAATTATCATGCATTAATGGTTGGACTCTGTTGGACTTAAAAAGAATTAAAACTATATTAGTCACTCAATTCAGGTCGTTATTTTTCATAATCTTATCAAGGTTTCTTTTTAAAGTTTGCTGTTTGTTGTTTGTAAAAAAATATTGAAAATATATATTGGTTTTTTAAAATATGAATTTTGAGTTTTCAATGTTGATAAAATATTATTGAGAACCGATTTTAAGCATTATCTTGTGTCCAAACGAATTAGTAACTTATTCATTCATTGAAATTCCATGGAACATATTTTAGTAATTTAAAAGAAAAAAGTCATAACTTGGCGTTATTTTCTACTTATAAATTTAATTTTTGTCATAGCTTCAAATGTGTTGATTCAGTAATTGCTGCAATAATGAGCAAATATATTGTTCATAAAATCTTGTTTCAATCAATATAATTAATCACCATAATCCAATCTGTGTCTAATATTATTTCTGTCTATGGTGTGATGCATAATGATGTATTGAAATAATTGCTGGATTGCTATTCAAAGGTGCTCATCAGAAAATGTACTTTATTGTTGAATAAAAAATAGGCCATATAAAAATGGCGTTGGTGTTGAAAAATACAATGAAAACAACTGTTTTCGGTGGCTATTAGTTTTAACGGATCATCCACATAGTTAATTATACTTTTTCCCAAAACGTAATACTGTATTCGTTTTGACCATTCTATTCTGCGTAACAAATTTACATTTCCTTTTCTCCCCTCGACTATTTTCAACGTCAGCGTCTTGATGTAAAAGTACATAGCATAGCATTGTTTTCCTTGAAGCACGTGGTTCCAAGAAAGTGAATATATCTCCCCTAATTTTATTTAACGTAGAAAACTATTTTAGCATTTCTTTGACATATTTTGCTTCAGGGAATATAGAAGCAAGTTTTGTATATATATGTTGGATTTATTGTTTGGCCCATAAAATTCGGCTGACTAAAAAGTGTTCACAACAATAAAAATTGATGCGCAGTTGCTTGCATGACTATCTGCTATTCATTCAGTTCACTGTCACAGGATGAAAGTCATATATATTTGACTGAATGCAAATGTAACCTTTAACTAGAGTTTCGCCAGAGTGATTTTTATGGCATTGAGGCATTGAGCATTGATATTTAAATAAAAAAATATAATACACACATCCGGAAGTATGAAAAACAAATTGGGTCAATGGCTCTTTAATATTATAAAAATTATAAAATATAAAAAGCAAAACAATTATAATGAAAAATTCCTTAAGAATTTCAACATTACGGAAAACTTTTTTGATCCAAAAAAGAAAATCTCGGCTAAAGAGATTGATTATTTTTTTTCATTCTTGACCCTTGGAAATGCCACATGTTGCACATATTTAATATGATTATTTAAATGCACGATGTGTGGTTTTGCGCTTTGCAGCTCATCAAAACATAAATAACAACTCAATCTTTGTAAAAGTCCGAACGAAAATTCATTATTCATCGTCGTCTTTTCATGCTTTGTGAACTATAGCCAAGTTTATTAATAAAATGGATAAAAGGAGAAGACGATTCGTGATTTGTGTGTATTTCTTTTGATAAATGTAACCGTTCGTGAGTGAACACAATTTTCTATCCATTTTCACAACTCATGGTTATATTTTGACAAACACGCGCACAAATACTGCGAAATCGTCTCAATTCACACGATGAAGTATGTTTTTTGTTTTGTAAATTTGAATTATTTTATTATTAATAAATTTGAGTGAAACAAGCGGCGATTTTCGTGATCGCTATATTGACAATCAAATCTTAAAAAAATAAAGTCATAGATAATTTGCTATCTTTTTGGCTTCATTCGGTGTTGTTCTATCCAATTTTAAATAGATCGAATTCCAATAAATTGTTAAGTCACCCACCCGCAAAATGGCATTTGATTTATATCTACGTTTCGAAATAGTTTGAGGCGGTTTTCAAATAAAAATTCCATCTTGACAATAAAGAAAATTTATTTATTCATTTGTATATACAAACAACAAATGAAAACTCGAAACTTTTCCACTGTATTAACACGATAGAATTCTATAAAAATAAATATCAACTGAAATGAAAATATATGCGCAGGCAATTTTCAGTACATACAAAACGCTGATCATTTAGCGCTAATCCGCGAAATTAGCTCTCGGTTTCCTTTTACTTTTCCGCACACACCTAGTGTGTAAGGTAAAGTATTAGAATCGGTCGAAAAATTAACACCCATCAAAAATGTATTTTCTGGGTGTTTTTGGGGTCAGGGAACACGAATCTAGCATTTTTTCGATATCCGAATGTATGTGCGTACCCTGTACCCTGTACGCTGTACGCAAAAATTTGTTAACATGATAACTTTCAAACAAGAAAAATAATTCAAAATCTGACTTCACAGGATGATTGGAAGTGCCGAGGAATAGAAACCATTAGATTATGAGCGACTTTGGTTGATAGAGTGACCTGTCATGTCTCGTGTGATGCCCATGGCCATCCATGGGAAAAATTCAATGTTTCTTCCAAAAGTGATATTTAATGTATACCTAAACACTCAAAAATGTGTATTGGGGGGTTTTTGGGTACTAGAAAACCGAATACGACGTTAGTTTTGCGATACAAATATATTTCGACACACTTTTCATACAAAAATTTCAAAAATATTGGATTTTTGTATGAAAGCCATGCCTGTATGATATCGTAATGAGCTGAAAGTTTGCACAGCTTATTTTTATCACACAAAAATAACACTCTGAGAGTTTGAAGACATTTAAATGCATACGAGTATTAGGGGTACCTCCCGAATAAAATTTTGGATTTTTCGCTCAAAGGCGAAATTTTGTATGGGAAGTACACTTAATATGCACTGAAAGGAGTTGGTGATTTTCCTTCATATGAAGTGATTTCACTGTCAAACGTCAATATATTATCGAACCCTTCTATGAAATGTACAGTGGCGCCACTTTTTGGTACTAAGTAATTCCATAGAAGGGTTCGATAAAATATTGACATTTGACAGCAGACTCACTTTTTCACGAACTTCTTTCTTCAAACTTTCAGAATGTTAACTTTTTGTGAAAAAAATAGCCTCTGCACATTTTCACATGATTACGATAGCCTATATGACATGGCTGCGATACAAAAATTCCCATTTTTAGTAGTTTATGTATAAAAAGTGCTTCGAAAGTTATTTGTATCGTAAAACTAATGTCAGATTCAGTTTTCTCGTGAATTCTTTGAGTAAAAGATTTGTAATTAATGCATGTTGTGGATCACAGTGCGGAAAAGTTCATCTTACGGATGTAAGATATTTTATTTCACAAAGAAACTTGAAAAAAAAGAGAACACAACAACCGTATAATGATGAGATAATGTGAAAAAAAGGTTAGACGTTGAAATTTGCCACTTTTTTGATAATAATAAAATAATATTGGGTGTAGGCATTAATTCCTGCGGTTTTTTTGGTGAAAAGAAACATTTATTTAAAAATAATAAGAATGAGTACATTAACCAATGTATTGCCCATCGTTAGCTATGACTTCCGCCCATCTTCTTGGTAGCAGCTCATTATACACCACACCACTTCAATCCCACCAAATAATGAGCATTACCGAGAAATCATCAAAATACTGCTATGCTGTCGATTTTGACGATTGTGTCGGATTGAACCCTTATTTGTATGCCTGGGATTATCGCAGCAGATGCCCTCTTCACTTCCAGTTACAATACGATACAAAAATTTCTTTTTTTCTTATTTTTGGAACATTGTGCCAAAATGTGAAAAAACGTCTTACAACTAGTTTTGGATTCAGCTGGTGTGGCACACAATTTCTTTGGTCTTACCTCATTACAAATGTCTTAAAACGATTGATCCGCATATATTTAATGCTTCTGATGTTTTCTGATGCATTTTCATGCATCTTTATCGAATAAAAAACGCCAATAGCCCATCATTCAAATTTTTTTGGTGAGTTCACAGTTTTTCAACAAATTCACCACTTCTTTTTCACCAAATTCAACATTCTCTGTGGAGATTGAGAGGTCTCGTCTCCTGCAACATTTTATAACCTTTAGATGTATTTTCACTTTATTTAAAGTGAAAAAATTGAACCAAAGGAGGACCAGACAGAAAAGCACTTTTTCATCACTCATTTTGAATCGATCAGAAAATAATGACACTGTGTCAAAAATAAATCTTTCTGCTCTGAATTAGATTGGCAAATGTCAGATGTACAAAATGCAATTGGATTCACCTGTCAAGCTACACACAATTTTAAGTAGCGACATCTAAATGTCGACCGCAGGAATTAATGCCTACACCCAATATTCATATGTTTTGTCTTTTCGTTAAAACAGTCCGAGATAATGAGAATTTCTACTGCAATAAGGGGCTTGTAAACTATCAACAAGTGAAGGGCTTATCATGTAAAAAAAACTTTTTTGTATTTGCTTGCGATGCAGCTTTTCATCGCCTGATAGCGGTATATTTATTTCATCTAGACGTTGCGTTTTCATTATATATTTATCGTCTTGAATTTTTTCTTGTTTGAGTCTTTTTTGTCTTTAGTTGTTTTTCTAACATTTTTTACATCCAACCTTGACGCAGTAAGCGGTTAATATTTGGTTCATGGTTTTTTCCACCAAATATAAATGCCATCTACTTAAGAAACATAATGATTTATTTAAAATGTCACGCTCATTTCCTTACTCTGTCTGCTTGAATCAAATTCGCTAATTTCAATAGTGAACGGATATGATTAGAATTCAGAAACTAACTGCACTGCTATTTCATTGGCATCTAAAAAGCGTAAACAAATGGCGATATGTACACACGAGTCCAAATAAAAAATACCAAATGAAATACGCAAAATTGTTAATAGCAAAAAAGCTATAAAGTGGGCCATACCGTGGGAAGCATTCTCCAAGCAATCGAGTGACAGCACAAGACGGGTCGTCATGCAATAAGTTACAAAACTTGAGCATCGAGTGAATAACTCCCCGTTTAATCCAATAATCCAATAATCCAAATAATAGCAAAAACCTAGGCAAAAACCAAAAAGTCCAAAAATAAACACAAAAACTTAGAATTTATTTTTAAAAAACACCAACCAAATAGTAGCCCTTATGAAAATATTGTGATTAGTTTGTAATAGTATTTGTACATAAAAGTGAATTTTCTAACTGTATCTATAGTCAAATAATTTACAAAATAATTGACTTGCTTAATTTATAAACCAACTAGTTTTGCGTGATGAATATAAATAGACATTTCTCGAAATTTAAATTTTTAAATAGAATTAGTAATTATATATATCATATTTTTTTGAAACGTCCAAATAAAATAACTGTTTACTATAAGGATTTAATATATTTGCAAGTCGCAACTATTTTATTATGAGATTTTTTTATAATCACAAATTTTCGGGTCTGTTTTTCAACTTAAATAAATGAACTTAATTATAAAACGTAGTAGGAGTCTGACCAGACAAATAAGACCGTGAAAAGAAACAGTTCAAATGAAGGTCAAAAAGCGGACAAACAATCGGATAAAATATTTGTTGGTAATTAATTTTATTTAATGTCTGGTTGACTCACCTGACTTATTCTAACCAATTGATAGTTCAACTAAAATTCTTTATTTAATATCTTGGCCAATGAATTGATGTCTATAGACTAATATGACTGATTTATGGGAATTATCAAATAATACTGTGAAATATTCTTTGATTTATTTATGATGTATGGTTTCACCGTCACATTAGAACTATTCAATTCTTTTAAATATTGTGAGAATCTTTTCGGGCATTCCAAAATGAAAAAAATATATGCTTGCTTCTCGTTCCTTGGGATAAATGTAAGTAATCAAAAAATTAAATGCATTTGACCTCAAAACCTGTGTAGTGTGTACATTATTGTAATCCGAAAATGGATAAAAAACCAAATCAATAAAAATTGGATCGTACTGAATCACAAAGTTCAGCACACAATGGATTGTCTTGCCGAGCGTTAATGTTGTCGTCAAATCATTTGATTAAATTGCATCGTTCAGAAGTGCGGACATTTCATGCTGTGTAATTATCTTCTCATTGAAAATATATGTGTGGTTTTCGATTCTATTTGAAATTATTCATAAAGGCCCCCAGCAGTGTTATGACAGTGTATAGTGGTTTGTAATGTAAGAATTTTGATTACAAGTTTGGTGTAAAAACTATTTTGAAAAACGGGCTATTTGAGCTGCTCACTAACTGAGCAATGTAATTCTAATTAAAATGTAAATATTATTCGTGCAGAGCACCTACGGTAACAATTCATTGCTTTAATCGATTTTTTCAAATATGACATAAGTTTTTTTGCGACTTTAAAATTAAATGCATTGTATTGTTATAACTATAGACCGAATGTATATGCGTGATACCCTGTGAACAACAAGAAGACTGCTTTGATTTTGAAAAAAAAATTAGAATGAGAATTATGCGAATTATGCCTCGAGCAGCTGCTTTTTTTGACACCACCGAAAAATTGTGGATTTTTGGGTCAAAAATTGCTTTCGTATTATGCAGATTGCATTAAAACATCTATCGTTCAGACCATAATAAATTAATTCCATTATTAATTAATAAATAAATAATAAATTCATTCGTTGATGTGTGCCGAATGCACAGTATTTATCTGGTGGATTTTATGATTGAACAATTACATGCCACATATCTGGGAATAAAACAATATTTTTCTAATTACTTCATAATCCAGATCGATTTTACGAACTTTTTTTCACATTTTAGATTTTTGAATCAATTTTCGCTGTTTGACAATTGATGTTTTTTTTATTTTGCAACGGCACTTTTGCTACAATTACAGAGATGAAATATTCAAATAAATTGAAAGGAAACAAAATATTCAAAATTTACGATGAAAGAACATAAATGCATATAATGATCGATGGATTATGGTATTTTCCTTTTCTTTTTTCTTTTAAAAATCTTGCGCAAAACAAAAAGTGACACTATATATATATTCACATGATTGGGGAGAGATTAAATTTGGCGGGAGCTAAAATGTCATATAGGTTAGTGTCAATAAAACCTATAGGTTATATTGTGTATACACAATCTCAAACGCAAAGCGATGTTGTACACAACGTTTGCTGTCAAAAAATAAGAATCTTTCTAACTGAAACGCAGTTGACTAGTATACTATAATAATCGAATTTAAAAATAAAAGTAAAAATGGATGGTAAGTTTTATTTTGCACATTTCATGAGATTTATTCCTATTTCTAAGTATAAAAAATATGCACGACAGTTGATCATTTCGATTGTTCTTAATCTGTTAAAATTAATGTGAATGTGTAAATCATTTCCAGTTGAATTTGCGCCACAGTGTATATATATCGGTTCCATAAAGTTAAACCAAAAGGAAATGTTCGAATCACAACAAATGAAATCCGAATGGTTCTACAAGACTCGACCACCAAATCGATCGAAAACATTCAAATACCTATTAAAGCTGTCGTCAAATGCGTCTGTCACATGGGAATGAAAATAATATCAATGTTATACGTTCTTCAATCGGTTGGCCAAATGGTTCACGAACAAATGCACATCACACCAGGTATGTAAACCGAGAAAAAGAAAAGAGAAGAGATTTTTTTATCTGAAAAACCAATCAAATCAATTCTCCTTTTAGCCCCAAATAAGTATGACTATGTGCTTATTATGGAAACTGAATCATCTAATGCTGTTTGCGAAGCAATCAAAGAACTATTTTGTTTTTGTGATGAGATTTCACATGATGAGATTGAACAGATTTGTCATAAGATAAAATCGCGAAAATGTGACCCAGACATTTGTCTTCAATATCCACCAACTGGTACTGGACGACTTTCGATATATGTCAAAGACTATGCATCTTTGGCATGCGATGAATATTTGAATGACAATATTGTCAACTATTACATTCGATATTTAACGTGTGAAGTTTTGACCGATAAACAGAAAAATGTCTCACACATTTTTGATTCATTTTTTTATCATGTGCTATCGACACCGTCCAGCGATCGGAAGAATTCGAACCAAGATAAACTTGCACGCATTGAAAGATGGACCAACAAAATAAACATCTTTGATAAGGATTTTATCGTCGTACCAATTAATCAGAGTAAACATTGGTATTTGGTAATTATATGCTTTGCCGGACTCTTTGAAGTAAAATCCACAGTCAAACAGGGTAAACGTCGAATTGAAAGCGATACGGATGAATCATCAACACAAATCGTCAAAAGGTATGTATTTACAAAAGTGTTTCGTTCATATTTCGGTCATGATGAAAAAATTAAATCATCTTTTGCTCACGCTTTCCGAAAGAACGACTTTTATGCAACAAAAATGAAAGTTATGAGTATATCAGTATTTTTTTGACTCGTTTGAAAAATCTTTCTATTTCTGATTTTCAGGCCATGCATTTTGATATTTGACTCCTTATCGGGTCGACGATACAAGGAGACCACAGTACTTCGCGAGTTCCTGAATTTAGAATATAAAAGAAGTTCATTGGTGATGGCAAATTTAAATTTGATTCTTTCAATATGCCTGGTCACCTCGTTAAAGTTCCACGTCAAGAAAATACATCGGATTGTGCACTTTTCATGTTACATTACATTGAGCAGTTTTTCAAGGTTTGTTTCAATTTATTCTCGACAATTTTGCTTAGATTTTTTTGTTTTCTTATTGTAACAAAACTAATGCATATTTTATGAACGTGAAAGTATTATTGCATATAATGTTGCAATTAAAAGAAATCAAATAGTAAAAATTACTTCATCCACAAATAATTCATTTAAAAAGCAATTTTTATTAAATTCTTTGAATGCGTTTCGTTTCTTTGCAGACTTCTGCAATCAAGAACTTCGACTTTCCAATAAAAAATTTGGAAAATTGGTTTGCACCTTCAGAGGCAGCACGAAAGCGTCGCGATATTGCTGAACTCATTAAACACCATATGAGCGATGATATTGAAAACTTACCAGACATTCGATTGCCCCGATGATGAGGTTTTCTGCTTCCGATATTCATCACATACTTTTGATTATCGATTCATTTTATATTAGTAATATATTACTTATATATTGGCTATTATTAAGTAACTTTTTGGCATTGTTCTTTACTTTGATTGAAACGGTGTAAAAAAACGCAATATAAATGAACAACTTGTTTTTTTTAAATTATTTTGAGAAAAGATGTGTCTTATTTAATTTGTTTTATATGCAGGAGAAAACAGCGCGGGAAATTCCCATGATTGATCAACGAAAAAAGTTGAAATTGGACAATTTTAAATGACCTAAAAACATTGAGCTATATCAGGAGGCTTACAAGTAAGAATTAATGTTTCTTCCTTTCTATTTCTCTCTCTTACTAAAGAGAATGAGTAAATCAGAGCATATACTAAGCATAGATATATATCCTGGATATTTTGTCAGTATCCGATATTCATTCGAGCCAGACTTTAAAATAGAGTGAAAACAATAGAAGTGATTGTTACAGGTCTAAGTATAAAAAATATACTACAATCACTATAACAATAACTTCTATTGTTTTCACTCTATTTTAAAGTCTGGCTCGAATGAATATCGGATACTGACAAAATATCCAGGATATATATCTATGCTTAGTATATGCTCTGGAGTAAATCAAAAACGGAATGCAAGCCCAGTGACATTGGCGAAAAAAGACAACAACGATTTTAAGGTCTTAGAGACCGCTGAAACTCAACTCTTCTGAATGGAATCTTTGTTTCTCAACGGTTCATATATTGTCATCTCATAAAAAGCGTAAAAATTTGTCTTTTTTTTATCTCGTAACATCAAAATCAATCTATTCTATTCGTAACATCAAAATCATTTTTTTTTATTGGTAACATCGTAAAAAGCATTTTAAATTGAAACACAGGACAAGAAATTTTTCAAAATGAAATACCAAAACAAAATTCATTGAAGTGTAGCACGCCGTGTTTCATTTTAATAAAATTTGCGTTAGTGCTACAATTCAATAAAATCTTTAAGATTTGTTACACATTTCTATGTTCTGAGTAGAAGTCTCACTTTCATTTTCGGAAATTCAAATAAACACACGAAACTTTGTCTGTACCGTGTCAAGAGTATAACATCTATTTATTTTCTATTTTTCTATCTAAGAGGAACGTCGGCAGTCTTTTGTAGTTTTATTCACTATGTGTATTGACGCGCTGCGCTGTCGCTACGCAAGTGCGATTTTAATAAATGATTTCAGTTTTAAATAAACAATAGAGCACTGCAAAGAATCAATTAAGCTGAAATATAACCTCGAGCTGCGATTTTGAAGCGAATAAATCTAACCGAATACAAACCAACATCATCAATTCATCATGTAAAGTTCCCAGAGACCGAACAAACGAAGCGTCATCTACTGTGTCTGTTTTGTTTCTTCTGTCTACACTTTAACGTGATTAACAACAATCATATTCATCTCACTATTTAAGTACATATAAGTATATATCTACATGAAATTTTTTTTTGTTTTACGTGCGTTTCATGCAGCACTTACAGTACGTGAGATTAATGTCAATAAATGTTTACCGATTGAGTTATTATGCAACAGTTCGTTCAAGACGCCTACATACCACATTTACAACCAGCAAGTTGTACTGTTTTATTTGCTCCGATTTCACAATAAAACAGTTCACGAAAAAAATCGCAACTTTACCGCAACAGATTTGAAATTAAACCGCAATTTAACATTACAAACGCATGACATTTTTCGTGTGACGTTTAAGCGTTGACAAAGATTGGTAGGATTTGTATAAGTTTCAATTTAATATGGTCATAAAGAATATTTGGTGTGGAAAACCAAATTTAAAATAAAAAAAAAACACTTTTGGTACCTTGAATTTAGCATATGTCAAATTTTTTTGATTAATTCATAAAATATTTACAAAGAGACAGTGATTTATTCAAAGTCAGACCGGATTTAGTGGACATCAATTTCAAATCTTTCTAACGTTCTTTTGATCATTGTAAATTGCAGTCGTGATCACATTAAGTGAAGGATTAGTCATAAGCTAATCAATTGAAATGACAAAAACGTAAACAAATACGATAAAACGTTTCACAGGTGAGTAATATCTGACTTTTGCAGTAGGCTTTAAACTATTAAAACGAAAATATATATATAATAAATATATATATGTACTTGTTTAGGAAAATCAAAGAGTAAAGAAAAATAATCAAGATTCGATATTTTATTGTCACATTATAATCAATTGGTTGGATGATTGGATGGACTCAAACTAACGTTGGCGCATATTTTGGTCTAATAGCTTTGAAATACTAGAAAATATTTTCTTCAGAATATGTGGAGAAAACAATCGTCGAAATAAGTTTCATTCACTGTTTTTTTTTTTTGGTCAACTGTCAATCGTAGCCCAAACAAACATTTACAATAAACCACCCACAACCATATGTCTCATCGTTCCGGGCAAGCGCAGCATTATATGGCTCCATTATATCTTTTTGTGTCATTTGTTTCTTTCACATTTGCATGCTCGATCGAGCTCAGTTGATTCATGCATACATTTTGATCGCTTGCAATCGTTCGGGCGTTTTCATAAATTACGACAATACGAATATGAAAATTGCACTTTTTGCAATTTGCAGCTTCTTTTGCACGAACGGATATATGTTTATTATTTTCTGATCGTTGTGAATTTGTGCGTAAAATACTTTTTTCATTGATATTATTTCTTAACACTCATATCGGAGTGAGTATATACTATATATACTATATATTTGGAATTTAAAATCGTTCCATTCGATTTGAATAACAAATCTGGTTAAATTCCCATTAGGCTCATAAATCACGTAGATTTTTGTTGCTTTTTTTTTTGGTTCATCATAAAACTAATTAAGACTTCCCAATGAACAATTGTTGTGGCAAATTCATCCATTATCGGGCATATGTCGACGATCGAATTTGGGCCCGGATTTGTGTGTAGTTTCAGTCAAAATCAACGTCATCAATGGAATGAAAAAAAAAAAACAGAATAAATTCAATTAGTATGATACAAAAATTGACTTGATATCCTATTCAGTACACTATACTAACCTACAAGAATACTTGTACTGGGGCAAGGCCACAATTTAATCAAGCCTAGCGTACTAACAAATAATTGTTATAACTAATTTTTAAATTATGATTTGATTGAATATTGTTGATTTCATTGAATGAGCGCTGCTACTACTACGGCTGCAGTAGTCCATTGTTGACATTCTGATTCTGACCGCGATACAATGGTAAAGGTTGATTGTTGACAACGCGGGTGGTCTGCGTACATTTGGATGAATCGTCCGCTTGAACACCACGCATTCACCTACCAAATGATATAATAAAAACACATTATTATCAATTCGTTTACAATTTGTATCAATTTCATCAGATTGCATACCTTTGTACAGGATCAGCTTCGCTGCTGCGATATCACGATGCCATACAGTTGTGAGCTATGGTTGTGCTCCAGCAGCTCCCTCGATTTCAACGTTTGCAACATTTGGTAGCCATGTTTTGAAGAAGCGTTGCTTCTTTGACACCAAACCCGTGTGTAAAAAAAGTGGCTGACTGACTGACTAACTATGTCGATTTTGTATGAAAACCAATCATAGTTAACCGGCTGTCCCAAATTAAGCATTTAAAAACGACTATATATGACTATAGTTGACTATAGTTAGCTGCTTAAGTTAACAACAATCGACAACAATCGGCTAGAATCGAATAGAATCGATTGTAGTTAACTGGTTGAGCAGCTGACTATAGAGTTCTCGAAGAGTTGCAGCAATTTCAAAGCCCATTTCTCGCATCTCGCGCCACATTCGTTCAATTACTCGTCGCATTTGCAGTAATCGTTTGCTCACATTGTTTACGATGGTTCGTGGTAGTCCAACAATTGGATTTGGTACACAACCCACACATTTCTTTTATCGATCGCCTCGAGTTGCTAGTGGAAATCGCTTGAAACACATGTATTCATCGACCATTCGAATGATGCAATTGCCACGTTTCATGATCGATGCGAAGCGAAATTTTGTATGGGAAGTACACTTAATATGCACTGAAATTTCTTCAAACTTTCAGAATGTTAACTTTTTGTGAAAAAAATAATCTCTACAAATGTTCACATGATTACGATAGCCTATATGACATGGCTGCGATACAAAAATTCCCATTTTCAGTAGTTTATGTATGGAAAGTGCTTCGAAGTTATTTGTATTGTAAAACTAATGTCAGATTCAGTTTTCTCGTGAATTTTTTGAGTAAAAGATTTGTAATAAATGCATGTTGTGGAACTCAGTACGAAAAAGTTCATCTTACCGATGTAAGACATTTTATTTTTATAATAATTTATTATTTAATGAATCATTCACAATATCATAGACGTCGAAATCTTTCATGAATGTAAAAGAAAGTGTTTGCGTTTCTCTTCGATCTCTTATTTTAATTTTCAATTTATTTAGTACAGGAGAAATTCACACTTATTATCGTTGAAGTATAAAAATTTCGATTTTTAAATAGTTTCCATCAAATATATATAGGCAAATTTGTATGAATCCAAGCATATAGGAATTTGCGATAGTGTAATAAAAAACTTAAAAAGTGATATGGAATGCTTGTCAATAAAAATCAACCGAATGTTATAGATATATCTATGATATATCACTGTTGAGTGAGAGAAAATCGTAAGCTCAATAGCACCAAAGCCGTTCACCGTTATTTTGTTGTTGGGCAGAAACTAGAACAAAAATTGTATCATTAGGTGTAATTTGAGTCCTTTATGAAAGCGAAGATGATTTCCAAATTGATAAATTGCCAAGTGAAAATTGGATAGGACGCTGTGACGATTGTTCGGATGTTCGTTAAGAACATAGCGCATTTCGTAAATGTGCCAAGATTTGTTTTGAATTACCGAAAAACAAATCAAATAATGATTTTTGGCATGAGTATTTTGAAGAATGGCTAATACAATCAATAGATACGATAAATGGTTACCAACGACTGATTTATAGTCTCACCATGACAATAAAATCACTAGCATAGAAGTATAAAAATAATCTTGCCACACATTTTGACTCTTTGACATTGAAGTTTTCTCTGAAGTTAGTAAAACTTATTCAACAAATAGTCTCTTTTGAAAAACATGCCTCATAGATCTCAAAAATGGTAAATCTAATTCGTTGTTGGTTGATTTTATATTAAATCTACCAAAATTGAATTACATATACCGCATTTTTTCTCTCTGTGTAAATGTACAGATTTTCATTTTACTGTAACACATTACAATTGTAACAAAGCATTACTGTAATGCTATTACAATTGTAATGTTAGATTTTTAGCATTACAGTAATATCTAATACAATTGTAGTAGCTATTACAGGCAAGAAAAGTTAACGTAATGGTTAATAACATTACAATTTTAATGGCGGTAAATCTGTATGTAAATGTTCGAAAATGAATGTAATTGAATGCAAGTAGCACTTGCTGGCCCCAGAAAAGACCCGCCAATATGTCTATTGCTACTGCAAAATCCGATTCTCACTTCATCTCATGACACTGAGGCCTTATGACTATCTGATCTGAGTATTAATATATAGGAGCATGATGTCATTCACCAGTTTTTTCATTCAAAAGTGTGTTGAAACTGTCCGTGAACAAGCGCTTATTCATAAAATATGGAAATGCAATTTTTGTTTACAAAATTTATTTTGGATTAAAAACCAGTTGATCTCCAGAATTGTCTTGTTCTTAATTGATTTTGAAAAACGTGGAATCAACAAAACGTGATTACACACCTTACAATATATATATATGTGTCATAACCAGTTTGAATTTTTCGATTTTGATCCGGTTGATTCATCCGGTAGAGTTTTTCAAATACGTCATCAATTTTGCGCTTGAACACATGTACTTTATGACGTTCTATTTGGTTCTTATGTGATCACACCACTATGAACACAATTCTTTAGAAAAAAAATACGATTGGTTCGTGTTTGTAATACATAAACTTTATGTCATAAAGGATATCTGTGGTAAGCGATGTGGTAATCCTTATACTGACCAATGACAGGATGTGAAGACTTCAAGTCTCATTGAGCCGACGGTGGCGCCAACAATTTCAAAGGGGACGTCAATATAATTTAACAACTCAAATCGAAACTAAACAGCGCGCCAATTTTAAAATTTGCTGTCATTTCCTCCCAATGACCACATCCCCACATTAATATGGCCAAAAAATCGTTGCTCTGTTTTTCTCTAGACTCAAAAGGCATGGAAAAACGATTTTTAGAGATTTCAAAATTTTGGCAATACTTTACTGCACACAGTGGGTAAATAACGAAAATCATGATTTAAATTAGACACATTAGAAAGAAAATTATTATATTATACATAGAGTTATTCAATGTCAGTAGCATATTTTTCTGAACCCTCATGGTATGCTTTTGGATTAATTTCGTTGCATTTTGGTTGGAAATTATTTGCGTGTTTTTACTTTTCCGCACACACCTAGTGTGTAAGGTAAAGTATTGGAATCGGTCGAAAAATTAACACCCATCAAAAATGTGTTTTCTGGGTGTTTTAAGAGCCAGGGAACACGAATCAGCCATTTTTTCGATGTCCGAATGTATGTGCATACCCTGTACCCTGTACGCTGTACGCAAAAATTTGTTAACAAGATAACTTTCAAACAAGAAAAGTAATTCAAAATCTGACTTCACAGGATGATTGGGGGTGCCGAGGAATAGAAACCATTAGATTTTGAGCGACTTTGGTTGATACAGTGAAGTGTCATGTCTGGTGTGATGCCCATGGCCATCCATGGAAAAAATTCAATTTTTCTTCCAAAAGTGATATTTAATGTATTCTTAAACAGTCAAAAATATGTATTGAGGGGGGTTTTGGGTACGAGAAAACCGAATATGACGTTAGTTTTGTGATACAAGTGACTTTCGACACACTTTTCATACAAAAATTTCCAAAAAATTGAATTTTTGTATGGAAGCCATGCCTGTATGATATCGTAATGACCTGAAATTTTGCACAGGTTATTTTTTTCACACAAAAATAACATTCCGAGAGTTTTAAGAGATTTCAATGCATATTAGGGGTCCCCCCCGAACAAAATTTTAGATTATTTGCTAAAAACTGAAAATTTTGTATGGGAAGTACCACTCAATTGTATTGAAATTTCTTCAAACTTTCAGAATGTTAGCTTTTTGTGAAGAAAATAACATCTGCCAATTTTGACATGATTACGATATCATACAGGCATTGAAAAGTCTATCAGAAATTATTTGTATCGCAAAACTTATATTAGATTCAGTTTTCTCATGAATTCATATTTACGGTAAAAGATACGTAATAAATGCATGTTGTGGATCACAGTGTGGAAAAGTTCATCTTACGGATGTAAGACATTTTATTTATGATGGTTGCGATTATAAAATAATAAAATTGAAATTTCGAAATTCCGTAAAAACGACGGTAGTTAATGTGACTCTCTCAGATTTTAAGTTTGATATCGTTGAGCAAATGGAGTGTTCGACAATCAGCTGAATTGGTAGTTTTTGAATCAATTAATGTAACAGAGCCATGAACACTTATCAAACAAAATATTTTGCACCGATGATGAAAAGAATAACATTCAATTAAACACGAAATAATAAATCGTTCAAAATATCACTTGTAAACCACGTTATTGATTGTGTCAAAATTTAAATTGGAAGCTATATGCACACAATGTAATCATTCACATCGACGACAACAACACCACACATCGACAAAGACATACACGTAGATTTTGTTTGACATTTCAACAGTTCATACACAGCGGTGCAGCATATTTTTGCAAAAAAAATTATTTGCTATTTCTATTGCATGCTTGATTTGGAGGTTACGCTGTTGAACCAAATTTGTAAGAAATAAACAAACAAACAAAAATAAGTGAAACTTTTTATTGTTAATAATTTTTTTTTCTCTTAGAAAATGGAAACAAAGGATTGTTTAACATTCGTTATTGGTAAAATTAATCAATCTTTTTCATTATAAAAGTAAATAGCTTCTTCAATTGAAATAGTAACATATTCTCTTTCTTTTATCCATAATTTAAGAGACTTTATCAAAGGTCGAAGTAATGGTAAAAATTCTACAAAATGTGGCAACTGAACTGCATCATCAAACCCAAGAGACAGAAAACAATCGACAACCAGCACCTATCGCAAGTTTATCGGCAATGGTTAACTTGTATTTGGATAGTGCAGTGATCGGTTGTGATTCGATTCTGGGTCATCGTGCTTCCACAATTGAACGGTTATCCAAACAACATCATATAAATGCAGAGAGTACTGTTAATGTTTCCAATATTAAAGGTTAGTGTTTGTTTTTAGTTTGGTGTGTTTGATCTTGTCACAAGTGAAATGAAGCATTTTTTACCTTATAGCTCTATTAGAAAATCAACAGCTTGGTACCAATATTTCTGCACAATTTACTTCTGATAGTTGGATTGACAGAAATATCCAAATAAATGACGAAATGAGTATAAATACCGATGTAATTCCGGACAGTTCCATTCTGGCTAATAATACAAACGATTTCTTAAAGAAAGTCTCACAAATGGATGAAACTGAAACAAAAGAAACTGAAACAAAAAATGATATTAAAGAAAACACCGCTGTAACTGTCACCAACAAACTTATCGAAAATGCGGGTCCGTTTTTATATCAAAAGTATTTTCATAATTTCAACATAACCATATCACATTTCTACGATTGAACAGTTACTACTGCGGTTGATGCTACAGATAACGGTAAAAATGTAACGAAACGAACGCGACGACGAATTCGGATCAGTTCAAAGCAACGATTGTCAAGAAGGTCAATAATAATTATCAAAAATAGAAAATCATCAATTGATGCATCAAAACCTTTCAGGTGTCCTGTAAATGAATGCAACTATAAGGGTGCGCGCCGGCCATACTTAACAAAGGTAGAAGCAATATGCTTTCTTTTATAATTTCATTTTCTATTCTGTTCCATTACTTATTGATTTATTTCCATTTTTTTTTCATTCTTTAACAAAGCATATGCAAACTCATTCGAAAGAAATGAAACTTTTATTGGCTTGCAGCGTTTGTCCAAAACTTTTTCGCGATCAAAATGCATTCAATGAACATGCTAGTGTTCATGATGAATCTCCAAAAGTTGCATTAGAGAGTGAACAAATTTCACCCGAACGAAAAAATATAAATAAAGACGGGTTTGCATGCAAAGTTTGTAAGAAACAATTTAAGCAGCGTGGTCGACTCGAAAAACATCTTGCTGTTCACGAAGACAGATCCAAATTATAGGTTAATCGCTGAAAATTAATTAATTTTCTTCTTTTGAAGATGACATTGTTGAATATTTTAACAGCAAACCCAAAACACGAAATACGAAATATATATAAAAATAAAATAAATTCAGAAGTCGCGCGCAAACAATCGAATGTCAAACTCTGAAGAGTTAAGATTCAACTTCAGTTCAGTTGTGACACCACATTATTTCATATAGTTTGACGTTTCGTTTTAATGCGGTTGCTTGGCAAAAAGATTGTACGATAATTTATTGTCAATTAAAAAATATATTTATAAAAAGTCCAATCTTGACAATTATATGACTTAGTGTTATTGTTGTTTCATATTATAGCACAATCGGTTATTTTGAATTTGAATAAATAACAATCACAGTACACATTGTGTTTAATTTGACATTTAAAATTATGAAACGTTCCAAACGTGATGCACGGCAGCGACGGCAAAAAAAGCGAAAACTTTTGTTTGAAGTGATTGAGAATGATGCAGCTGATGATGGACCAAAGACAGAGCTGCTCGCGCTCAATGAAAATTGTCTTGAAGAGGTATTGGAGTGGTTGCCGTTATCTGATTTAGTGTGTTTGAGTACAACGTGTAAGCGATTGCAAGGAGTCGTCAGTAGATATTTTAGTCGTAAATATCCAACAAAACGGATGACAGTTAAAATGGATGCTCGACAACGAATCGAATTTTGGCCACGTGAAAAATATATACAAAGGTTTCGTGAATATTTCCAGAATATTGGTATAAGAGGTCGTCAGCCAGCATTATTTCGTCATGTTGGAACCATTTGCAACAAGACACTGAAAAAAATTCGAATTCTTGAGGCGACAGCATTAACAGAAATGCATGGTCGTTGTATCGAAGAGTTGCTAAAAAATGTTGAAATTGTTGAATTCGAAGAATGTTCGTTCGCAGCTGACTTTTACGATTCTTTCTTGAAGTATTGCTCAAATTTGAAGCAATTAGTGCTCAAGTCATTTAAAGAATGCACTCACAGTGGCATTAAAAACAAATGGCTACTTCAAAAATATCCACATATGAAACACTTGAATTGGAGCTTCGACGAACCACCGCCCGATGAGTTGATAACATTTTTTCATCGCAATCCGAATGTTAGGAGTTTTGGCGCGGCACGTTTTCCACTTGAGGTTACAAGTTTAATCATGAAGGCCGGCATTAGACTTGAAGTGCTATGCTTGGATATTGGATTTGGCGTGGATCTCAACATGAAGCAAATTTTTCAAAGCATTGATACTCTACACAAGCAAAACCAATTCAAAAAATTACACATGATTCCAACTACTTCAATGTTCGTTGCTGCTCGGTTTCCACCTTTAGAATATCTCGACGCTATTATGGCCAATCAGGTTTGTGATTGTGTACTTTAATTAAATGTATTGTTTATTTAAAAAGTGTTATAACTTTAAATATGTTGTATTTTTTATTTGATTTGTTGTAGGTGTTCGAAGATGTCATCGCAGCCATGCACAGTTTGAAGGTGCTGTATTTGGATGCAATTTTGTTTCGAGCTGAAGCTGAAATTTTGGCACAAAATCTAATAAATCTTGAGGAGATTTATGCATACTGTGATGCAATTGACGCAATTGTCCCTTTTGTTTTGCATTCAGTAAAACTGAAAAAGATTTATGTAAACAAAACGTTTCTGCCAAAACACATGCAGAAAATTAATCTCAACAAACTGAGCAAAGAACGGGCAAAATTACAAAACGCTTGTCATTTGGTTATTTACCTAAAGGAGGAGTTATATATCAATATTAAATGGACGGTAGAAGATTATTATTGTTTATTTATTGTTTTACGATTATTTTTCGATTAGTTTCGATTATCGTCATTCACATTCATACATTAATTCAGTAATGTGCGAGCTACATTTTACAGGGGGGAGGGGGGCGGGTTGGGTGATTTAAGTGAAGAGCTAAAAAAAAAAAGGTCTTCACTTTTTTCGTGAAAAACCCTAGCAAATTCGAATAATTTTCGCAAAAAAATTTTTCTCATCCAAATCACAGGGGGGGTAAACCCCCCCTACCCCCCTCGCACATTACTGCATTAATTGTAATATTACGTATGAGATTGTCAAATGACGATGATGGAAATTGAATCTATGTGAAATAAAAAGAGAGAGTGTGTGTGTGTGGATGAGTGAGTGAGTGAGTGATAGATGATTGGGAAACCATTAGAATGTAAGACAAAACATACAAAAGAAACAAAAGTCGCGACAGCAAACAAATTGCTGACGAAAAATTGAGATTTGGTAGTAGCAGCAGAGAAGGAATCAATGTTGTACACACAGTAGCATTGCATCGGAACAACGTCACAACAACGACAACATGGCGACGCAAACGGATAAACGAAAACTGTATCAACAGCAACAAGAAATCACATTCGGGTGAGTTCGTTTGAATACATATTCTACTCTGTTGTCATAATTGTCATGTGTTGCATAATAGCTAACGCATTCGCTGATCAATATCGGCCACTGTCAACGACAAACCGATTTAAATGTGTTGGTGTGTATTTGACTGTGACATTTCAAACCAACAAGCCGGCAACAATTCACATCGTGACGAACCATTGCCAGTGTAAGAACTAAAATTCCTGTGCATAAATTTTCAGTTTGCATTGAAAGTGAAATATTCTATCGGATTGGATCTTTATCGGTTTTTCCAAAAAAAGTGTTTGGTAAGTATTATTTTAAAATATAATATTAAACAGAATTTTCGAATTAAAAAAAAAAAATTGACTGCATGGTAGAATGAGATTGAGATAGAGAGAACATAATACAAAATCATGTTCAATCATGAATTTCACCATTGCACACAGTGGATTACGGTACCGTTAGCCAATAGTGCGACGCAGTTTCTTATGATTTTTCAAAGTCTACTTTGACTACGATATATTGTAAATTTTGTATCGTTAGTTTCGTAGTTTGCCACAACTGTCCAACGGCCCCAAATATTGTTCTCAAAACTCCCAAGAAATGGACGATGAAAGTGCATCACAGTCGACGAAAGAAAATGGGTGCTGCACCAAGACCAAAGACAATAGACTATGAGCCCGAATTCCAACTGAGAAAGGAAGGTGTTGTCATGGATCGTGATCACAATGCTTCACGCAATATGATTTACAAAGCATTGCGTAAGCTACATCGTCAACCAGATGATCCCATTTTCAATATGAGTGCTGCCGCATGGAAACAACAATATCGTTCGAATCCAGCAGTTCCAGCGAATCGCCCGATTCGTGCGATTTGTGCGAATCGTGTAGCATAATAGTAAAAGAAGTTAAGCCGCGGTCGTTCTATTAGTAAGTTGCATTTTAATTTGATTGCAATTCAAATTACTCTCTCATATGAATCTGTAACATTTGCTTATTATTTATTAATATTCATTGTTTGGTTTCATTCTCAAATCTAGGAAGTGACCAGCGGACCCAACCCTATCGTATTAAGACGGTAGGGAGTACTATTCTATAGTGAGCATTTTGTTTTTTTTTTCTCTTTCACAGAAATCGACGATTACAACTACCAAATCTCAATTTAAAGCAATTGCTGGACATTAATGTTGTTGTGGCTATTGCTTTGCAATTTTTTCATTATATGTTTCCGATTACTTATCGATTATTTTAAATTTTATTCTTTTCTTTTGTGATTCTCCCCTTAGGTAGAAGATTTGAAGCAGGGCCTCATCGAAATCAAAAGAGCCGAATCGCACTTTATCAACAACACATTAGTTCGAATGTGATAGGAATTTGAAAACAAAAAGTTTTAAAAAAAATATTATCATTTTATTCCTTCAATTTTCTTGAGTTACAAAATAAATCAAAATAAATTTTCAAATGATCGTAATATGTATAATTCGAGTCATTTTTCATTCATCTGGCCAAATATTTTTAAAGTGAATAAGCAAAAACTCTCTAGAAACAAAAACACATACGTTGAAACAAGCACATTGAATTGTGAATAGATGTTGATTTCTTAGAACAATTAATTTTATTTTTCATACAAAGTGATTTTCAATCATAAAGTTAACAAATTATACAACTTTCCCAATTGAAAATACATTTTCTCTAATTACTTAATCTAATCGAAACCAATTTAAGACATTATTGATGTGGAATTACAGCTGGAATTACACCGACTCCAACTCCGCCACCTAAAAAATAAAACATTTATATTAAATAGAATTTAATTCGAAACGGATTCGACTTCTTACCATGGGCACACATTGGGGCAACGAATGTCCAACAATCATCTTTTGGATTATACACCTCAACCTGTAATTTAAATGTTATTGATCAACAAATTTATCCATTTGTTAGTGAAGTCAAATATTTACTCACAGTCGAGAGATTAATTTCGCCATCATAACCTGTTAGATATTTGAAATCATTCTGAGTTACAATTTGTAACTGACTATGAACAATCAATTTACAGTCTATCCTCTATTCTTCCAGGAAAAAAAAACTTACCTCCAATTGCCCATAATTTACCCATGTTAGCACATAGAGCCACACGACTTCGTTTTACATTCATCCTAAATTATTTAAACAAAAGTTCAGGACAAGTTGATTCAAGAAATTGAATGTAAAGAAAAATAAAAAAGGTAATTACGGTGCTACTAATCGCCATTCATCTTTTATAGGATCATATTCTTCGACACTGTGAATGGGAATTATTTTTGAATTAAATAAAATTTCAGTGAACACGTAAGTAAATATCATCATACCTCTTTAGAAATGAATTCCCATCATAGCCTGTTAGATATTTAGAAATAATTGTAATTGACAATGAACTATCAAAATGCAGTCTATTCTTACAAAAAAAATCTTACCTCCACATGCTTTTTGGTTGGTTTTCGGCATTGATTTAGAAAAATGTGTAAGTACAACTCAAAGAAATACAACAACACTTAAGTGAAAAACACTCACCATATAATTTATCGTTGAGAGTTGCTACACCGAGCCTACAGCGTCGATTGAGCATTGGTTGAACTTTCATCCACGCATTTGCGATGGGATCATACCTGAGGGTGAGTCACATAGAAAAGAATGTAAGAAATGCAAATTAATAGACAAGTAATCAGAGGTGCGCACTGGGGGGATTCAGGGTTTTACCCCCCACCTAGCTTGGTCACGTCCGGATTTCCGGGTCTAACTTTA